CCATAGGTATCTATATTGATATTGAAAAAGGTTTGTACTTTGTAGTCCAGCTCCATCATCAGTCCAAAAAGCTAAAAAATGAAAACAATCCTATAATTCAGACTGACAGACTCCAAAGTAAGACATTAATTTTTAAAGCCTAAAATTGACAAATATGGTTAAAATCTATATTGATATTGAAAATGGTTTGTACTTTGTAGTCCAGCAGCCAGCTCCATCATCAGTCAAAAAAGCTAAAAAAATGAAAACAATCCTATAATTCAGAGTTTTCAGACTGAGACTCCAAAGTCAGACATTAAAGGCTTAAAGCCTAAAATTGACAAATAGGCCTATGAGACAAATCAAGCCAAAAATCTAAATTAAACACTTGCAGAGGCTAGAAAATAAAACCAAGCGTTTAATAGTCTTGATAGTAGATAATGCAAACAGTTCTTATCCTCATGAAATACCTAGTGAATTGTCTTGATAATACATAGGTAGGCCTACACACATTTCCTATCTTCTTGAAATAGGTACCTAGTTAGCCACTTAGCCTAATCCCTAGTCGCTTTCATTTTCTAGTGTTTACCTACTTTATATGCTCCGCAAGTGTTTTAGATTTTAGGGTTGATTTGTCAATTCTAGCTTTTAAATTTTAATATCTGACTTTGGAGTTAGAACTAGCTATAATGATTGTTTTAATTTTTCTAGATTTTCAAACTGAGGAAGTAGCTGGCTGCTGGACTTTGTAACATATTCAATGTCATTTAGGTATATGGTGAATTTACTTGGAGTTCACTTTGCTTTTAAATTCCTTGTTAATGTTGGATATGATATATAATATTATAAAATATAAATAATGAAGCAAATTTCATTTTCAGTGGCATTTTGAACCTGGCTTAAAACAATTCAATGCATGATGCATCCACAAAGAGCGCCGCTCAATAAGTTGAATCTATGTAAAACAACAACAGTTGGGCTCATAAACTTCTACAATCAAATCTATTCATCATGACATTTCTGAAAGCTGAACGTATTCTGTCGTGAGTGTCGTATGACGTAGCCTAGCGGCCCTGGCCTACCTATTTGAGTATTTCTGAAAGCGTCAACCGGCGTTAGGCGAATGTCTAAATACGAATACCTCTGGTGAAATTCTACTTCATTTCAACTCTTCTAAGTTTTCATAAAATGTTTACTACTGTACGTTGCTCTACGAAATATTAATCGTGAAGCGGCGAAGGGTACTGTAGTCTGTATTCATATCTTCATTAATACACAGAGAGGAAGACTAACCCTGCCCTTAACCCGCTGTTCATATCAACTATAATCAAGAGTCAGTACGAGATATCGGTACTAGTACTTGGCTGTACCTGTGAGAAGCAAGCAGGAGGGAATTCTATGAATGACGGTTCATATATTAATTTCGATCCAAAAATTCCGGTTGGGGTAAAGAGTTAGGAAAAGGGTAGGGGGTTAATAAAAAATTACGTTCATCTTGAGCCAATGACTGAACCCCGTGTTTATTTACTGATGTCTAGTCCCTTCATCTCATTTTATCCAGATGGCATTATAAATAAATTTCTGAAAACTTAGTTTCCATTTGAATTAAGATACATTTACCTCTCTATTTGACATATACAAACGGTAATATATGCTTAATGGCTTTGCTGCCTTTACCAGCCCCTCACACGAGATCTACCTAGACGCGTGAAAATCTTGGTGCCATGCAGGCCAAACACAGAATCAGACAAATTTGGCACCAGAAACTTATAAGGGATTGTCCTCTTATTGAGTTGCCTGTAATCAAAACAAATCCTGATGCTACCATCCTTCTTCCTCGCCGAGACTACAGATGATGACTAGGATGAGTTAATTGGCTCAATAACATCAAAGAGAATTCAGTTCCCGTCATTGCCGTGCAATTTCATCCACCACCGGCTGAGGAAACCGACGAGGACGTTGGCATTTTGCGGTTTCGTCAGTGAGTTTGATCTTGTGCTCAGTTAAACAGGTCGTTGCTATGTCCGTGTCCCCTGACCTTATAATGATTAATCTTAGAAAATACTGCAGTATGCTGCTGTTCTGGGCTAAGTTCAGGCAACGAAATTTGATGCGTTACTCAGTTACATCCACTATATTGACTTCCAATGGCGGATCACCTGCAACCTGACCTACAGACGGAAGTAGAGCCAATAACCTGATCCTGCTTAATCGTAATACCTGCATCACCTGCTACCAGCAGCACATGCCTAAAATTACTTTGAGAGCTATTCCTGAAAGTCCTCAAACCCTATACAATAGTTACCTGTCAATATTTTTATCCGAATAATACAGCACGTGATCAGGTTCAACAGTTGGGAGGGCGCAAGAACCTGGGACAGCTTCAACCCTACCCGACTTCACCCTGACATCAGACAAAGCTCTGCAACAAAAGTCAATCAACATCACACCACCAGGTGTGCCACTAGGATTAAAAGATATCCCTACCCTAACCCCATCAGGCAGATGTTTTATTATTATACATTCTTTTATTCGCAATTCAACGCCATCACTGGTTAAGAAATGAACTCCGAGCTCCAAAGTTACATTCATATTAGGAAAAGTAGGAAAAATAGAGAATTTACAGTCACACATGGGAACATCATGAATATCCAACGCACAATTCACTTTTCCTAATCACAAAAAATCATTCCGTTCTATAAAGCGGAAGACACTTGTGTCATTACTCGGCGTTAAATTTCAGGTCACTTGCAAACTTTGCTGACATGAGAGAAGTCACTGCTCCCGAGTCGATCACAGCTAAAATTTTTTTTTCTATAGTCACCATGAAGGTTAATTGTGAGTTACCTCGCCCTACCAAACTCACTCTCTTCCCGGCAAGGTAGGTAGATCCTACAGAAAGCTACTCAAGTCAAATGATGCATCAATCAATGATGTTCCAGAGGTACCGCAGCCTGGCGCCCAGCCTCCTGCTAGGTAGGCTCACTTCGAGCTAGTCGAAACCACCCAGCCCAGGAGAAACTGATGAGGTGTCAATACTTGGGGTTTGGTTTATCACGGACGTTTCAGCTGAATGCCAGTCGTCAACCGCTGGAGGCCTCGCCAACCGTGTATCACCAAGAGCATCTTAATTAGGCGGAGAGTGTTGTATGCCACAAAATATGTCCGCTTACTTTGAGCCAGTTCTGTTTCCCAAAAGTGGTCGATCATGGATCTTAGCTTTTGTACGGTGGTTGGGATCATACTTAGAACACTGCTCAATAGGATGCTCCCGTCCACAGATGAGACACCTTCTTGATGCCTTCCTGCAGTTCTCTCTGGAATGATTCGGGTTTTTAAAATAACTGCACCTAATTTTAGAATTTGTTGTTGGAAGTCCAACTGAGATCGGAGATGAGTTATGAGGAGGCACTAAAGTTTGTTTTGCTACTTCATGCGCTCCCGCAGAGATCACACTGGGTCAAGTCTGGTACGTACATTTCCTGACGCTGACCTATGAAAACTCTAGTCTTAAGCTGTGACTGAGTCTCGTGGGAATTTTCTGACGCTGATTGATCATGGAGACTAAGCACATCAGACCACATGACACTAGTCTTCTACAGCTGAAGGTCCTTGGCCATCTGCAAGATACCTGAGAAGGTTAAATGCCTCTTTCCGCCTCCCGTGGTGGCTTTCAGAGCCCGTTCTGTATTCAAAATTTTACTGGAAAAAGATGGTGGCAAGGAATCCATGAACTGCTGTCTCAACTGGATGGCACATTTCTTTTTATCACTTGGGTATCCCAATTCTGCCAGCTGAAACGAGCGCGGTGAATAGATATACCAGTCCTCTTCCGGGTGTGGAGATGCAGAGGCAAATGCATTTCTCCAGTACTTCCGACCACGAAATATTTGACTCCTGTGAAAGTCTAAAAGCGGTTGCTTCGTCTCACTGTACTTAAGCTTCCTTCCACCTCGCACTTGGTAAACTGTGAGCAAATCCCCAGCCAGGAAATCAGCCAATTTTTGGGTTTGGTCATACGTTGTGCCTGAGAACTTCTTTGAGAAATAATTTTCATAAGTAGTGAAGAACTCTGAGACCAGTGTTATCATTTGGGTCAAACTTTGGTAGAACCACTACTTCGGGACGGTCAGCATACTTCTACCGACGATAAGTGGGGCATGGCATAGGTGGGTCGTCATCCTCTAAGCCATCAGATGGGCTTCATGCCAAACTGCCAACACCGTCAGACAAAACTTTGGATGAAGAAAGTATTACGTCTTCTATCTTCAGTGATCTGTAAACAGTTGGGTTGCCTTTTATTTTACTTCTTTCTTCATTATCCAGTACCTTGAGAGTTCTGAGCAAGTAATATTGCTTGCCAAACCTAAATTGCTGTGTTCAATTTTGAGAAATCATCTGCTGATTCCTCCACATTCAGTTCACATACTCTCGACCTCATAACTGGGGTTGAGGGGTTCACTTCATTATCACTGGGAAGATCATGTATGCACTTTATAAGTCAAACACCGCCATGATAAGTCAAACACTGATATGCCATGATAAGTCAAACACTGATCAGCATTCTCAAATTTGGCAAGGAAGATGGGCAGCATTCTCATTTCTAGGCATTGCAGCAGAGAAGCCACCGCCAAGCAAAAGAGGAAAAATTGTCCAGCGCAGTTCATCCAGTACCGGTAGAATGCCTGGATTGACACCCATCCCAAACTTCCCATTAAGAAAATCAGCTTGGGCTTGCGCATGAGAAAACAACCAACACTGCTGAATTGCTACAATTTTGGCTACCTACATCAGGTCTCTCAACTTGCAGGGCCTTAGTGCTTTCTCCCGGGCTTGACCCAGTCTTCATAGTCAAGCCATTTGGTCCATCAGTGTCAGACATCTCTAGTGGGTTGACAGAAGTAGGGTGCTCACTGAGGGCTGCATCAAGCAGATCAACCCGTGCTGCAGTGCTGTCCCGCCCATGCTCCGCCAAATTAGATCCTCTTGAGGGCCCAGAGGAAGCCATAATGAAGAATGTGAAAAATGTGTTGGTGGAAAAATGGGATAGTGACTGAAAGAATGTGCTCTAGAAAAAAAAAATACCGTCGGAGATGCCATGTTTCCGGGGTATTGTCTCTTGCCACGGGCAAGGCAAACTCGTCACCTACTTTTGAATTTTCTCTGGCTACAACCCAGTAAGAATTGGAGAATGAAAGAGTAACTCTAATTAAAGTAATTATTTAAAACGGGATTTTACATTACGAACCTTTTATTACAAAACAAGGGCAGAGGACCCTGAGGTAAAATAGTTAAGGCTAACAACATGGATTAAAGCAAGGGCATGTGTACCCACCACTTGCAAGGACCCAAGTAAAGACAATATGTTTAATATGTTGTATGTGAGCAGAGTATGTGGAGTAAAAGGAATTTGAAGAATTCGAATTCAGTTAAAATATAGATTACGGAGCATGGACAGGCAAGGAGTTGCTGAACAATAACTGAAAAAAAAAATGGAAAATTATATCAGCAACAGCGCACTCACGTCTATTTCTGTGAGAAAGATGTTAGGATAAAACAGTTGCCAAGCACATGGACAGATGCAGCTTAAAGTATTGTGCACTGCAAACCCCCAAGCAGGCCAGAAATAAACCCAAAATTTCTTTCCTTAATCTCTAAAGAGTTGGGGGAAGTAGAAGAATAGACTGAATAAGAATTATAATACTTATAGACGTAAGTTCAAAATAATCAGGTCAATTAAATCTGAAACAATGCTAAATGAATGCAAAATATAAAATCATTAATTGTAAACAAACTGAGGTGACTATGGAACCACAGCATTGAATTAATTTCTAGTGAACCTAGAAAAAAATAATTGTGAATACTAAGTAATTCAGAGTAAGATATATTTAGCAATTAAATAGTTACTGGGACAGGTTTCTGAGTGCTCTAAGTTTTTAACTGTAGAATATCACATACATCTCTACCAATACAGGCAATACTCACTCTTCAGAGTGACGCTGGAAAACCTGTCAGTTCTGGCAGCAGACTCCTTGGTGAAATTAAATAGGGAATTAACTTGGAGAATTGATAAGATAATTATAGGAACAGAATTCACTTATATTGTCAGCACCTAGTGCAGCTGGACTAAATGAAACAAAAGGACAAAAGTGAATGCATGCAAAATAAATGACAACAATTATGCAATAAGAGGCAAGAAAGTTGAGCAATAAAGGATCAGAAGCCTCATGGCAACAACAAGAAGCCTATTTTGTATGTGGTGGAGGATACGGGAATGTGAAACCAATGCACATTGTTTTGTCATTTTCACTTACTATCCTATTCTTTGCTTCCATAATTTGACCATAGATTAAAAGAAATTATGGAGATGTGAAGTTCTGAATTACTATTAAATTACTGTTTTCAAAGGATCAAAATTTCAAGAATAAGTATAGATACACTAACCACATCCCAAAAATTATGCTTACTTCATCTGTGCCCAACATGCTTTTGGCTTGAACACCTTACAGAACCACGTCTTTGAACCTTGGGATGGTTGGTGAATGCAGTGGGTCTCTTCATACTTGCAACACCATGCAAGTGCCAGCCATATCTGAAATCACAAGGCATTGTGATTAAAATGCATGAGATAACAAAAAACGACAACATTTGTGACTCAAACACCCAACTGAAAAAATAAACCCTATGTTGACTGAAGGTGACATTAGAAAGTGTTGTAAAAATTTTTTTATGGTGTAGCAGTGAAATATTTTAAACCTTCATCATTCCCCAAAATATTTTAAACTGTTATCAGAAATCAGTAACTGTTGTTAGTGTCGCAAGTTTTAAAAAGCAACAGTTGTGAATGGAGTCGTTAATGGATAAGCTCACCATTTAGCAATGCAGAAATAATGAGGAGCGTTGCCAGATGCTTTATTGCTCTTCTTGACACGACAACGAAACTTGATCCTCCTTACAAGTGATTTAGGTCAGTTTTATTTTGGGTTCAGTAATGGTTTAGTTTTGTTCTGAGATTGGTAGAACTCTATGATAAGATGTCCAGTCCAAAAAGTGTCCTCATTCAAACACTTTTAAATATGAATAGCATTGTAAGCAGTTTCAATTAAAAGGGCCAACATTTTTGGATGAATTACTATGTTACCAGGATGCGGGGCGTGGATCCAATACATATGCCCGCCACTACCACCTTTTTCAACTTCTTTCTCAATCTCTGAAGATGATTGCATTTATGGCAGAATATTTGAAATAAATATATATTTACAATATTCACTCTATTTTACAAACTTATAATTTTTAAATTTCTTTGCCAGTTTTGCAATTTTTTTCACATTTTTTTGCATTGTGCACAGAACCATTTTCCAGATAAGGCATTGTTCATGATCAAACATTTAGTATGGAACCAATCACCACCTTCAACTTCTTCAGCAGCCATCTGTTCCAGATACAATTCACAATTTTCGGCATTCTTGCATCCAACATACTCGGAAGAATCAACATTGGTTTTATTTTTTTGTGAACTTTTAATTTGCAGTAGTAAACTTCAGCTTTTCTTTGCACAAAAAGTGGAAGGTTTCACAATGGCACAGGAAACTTCCCCTTTCTTTGGATGCAAAGTAAAAGGTTTTACAATGGAAACAAATGGATTGGAATTGAGTGACAAATTGGCTTGCTGGTCATTGGTTGCTTTTGATAGACAAAGATCTATTCAAGTGTTTTGTTCTCAGCAATTTTCTTCTTTTTTGCATGGCATCGTTTTGTCAAATTGCTCTCCATCACATCACTACCAAGTTCCTTTAGATAGGCAGCTACTGATTTACTTTTATGGTTAGATTTTTTGTCAAATATGAGAGATTCCAAATGCTTATTACCAAGGAATATTTTTCTGGCAAAGTCCGCATTATGCTGCACCATGTTTGTGTTGCATCGCAGGAAAACTTCACTGTTTACATAATCGATGAAGTTATCTTTATCAGGCTCAGGCCGAAAGACATACTTTGATTGGAATCGATTTTGCACAGTATTTGCCACATGTGACATCACTCTTTCCGTGGCTGCTTGAGATGGCTTCATTAATTGAATGATTTCTAAGCAGCGAATGATGTTTACTGGATACATTGATTTATCATTGTTAATGCTAATGTAGTGAGCAAATGCATGAGTGTATGATAATGGTTTAGTACTGCCCTGCTTGATGAGTTGGTTGCTTAACACAGGCTGCCATTCACTATGGAAAATGCTCATAAAATCTAAATAATCTTTTTTCAAACAACTGCATTTGCTGATTCCCTGGCATTGAGGACTGCATAGGTCAAAGTCAATGTTCACTGATGTGAACAGTTCTTCAATGCCTGTAGATCTTTCTTCCATGAAATCAGTATTTCTATGGAGCGAAAACAACTCTGTTACAAGGGTGATGGAAGGAGGGATCTCCAAGTAATTTTGAGCCTCCGCACAAATTGTGTCAATCCACTTTGAATAGCAACCAATTATAGATCTTATTAAAATTTCTCTTGACCCATCTGCATCACTTCTGGTGTTCAAGCCTAGGCTTGATGCAACCTCATTCATGTTGATACCAGAGAACTCTGTGGGAGAATCGGTTGCAGAACTCAAATTAAGAATACCATCTTTAATTAATCTCTGAATGTCAGGGGAAAGTGTTTTCAATTCCTGCATTTCTTGTTCAAAGTTATCAATTTGGTGCCTGTAATTGAAGGGTCCAAAACAGGCATCTTGGCCAGCTTTTTCCTTATGAGAAATGACTTTGTAAAGACGTCTGATCATCATCAATCTTATGAGAAATGTTTCACTAGATATTGATTTCAAAATGCTTCTTGCTTTCTCCCCCAGGGAGCTCTGAATATTAACTAATTCTGGTAGTGCCTTAATTAGAATGGGAATGTTCTTCAAAATGGCATCTAAATGGAAGTGCAAATACTCTGCAAAATGAGTTTCCCATTGATTAGGGATGACCATGAAAGTAGAACCATTAACAAAATTAATGTGTTTATGAATTTGGTTTTTAACAATATTATGGTCAGAGATGAATGCGGCAATAGATCTGCATGTTGACAAGGTGTCGCTAACCCACTGAGGCATCGTGTTGTCCAGCAAATTTTCCATTACATGGCAGAAGTCCGGAAGTTTGACCAATTTGCAATATTCTGCAGATACTTTTAATAACTCAATAAGGCCTCTTCTCTTCTCCGTGTATACAGCACCTCCATTGGTGCATATAAATGCAACTGATGAGGGGTCCAGGAATGTTGCAATGGTTTCCTTTACATGATTTGTGGTTGCCTGGGCATCACCTTGCCGAATCATTCCAACGCCCAAGAGAACTTCTTTAGGCAATCCATTGTCAGAAATGTAGGAAACAACAGTTGCTTGCCGGGAGACATCCATGGGTGCAGTGCCTCTGTCGCAACAAATGGTGAATTTCCTCCTACTTTTTGTTGCTTTGAAAGTAGTAGCAAAGAAGTTCTTCATTGTCATTGCACAAGCCTCATAATTGGCACTCATCACTTTTCGAATTCCTGTGTGGTTTTGATGTCGGTTGCCCAAGGGATTACTCAAATGAGATGGGCACACAATGGCAAATAGTGTACACAAAGCAGTATATAATCTGAAAGGTAAGCAATGAGTAGCCATAAATATGCCAGCTATCAGTGTGTTCTTAGTTGCTTTTTGACGCTCTTCTGCAGTTGGACGTTCAAGTCTGATTTGACGTGTATCATTGCACTGACTAAGTTTAAGAGATTCTGTGTGTTGAACACTTAATAGATGCCTTTTTAGAGCAGCATTTCTGCTTCTGGTATCAGTGAAAGTCATTCCATCAGACCACGATTCGCCAGCCTTACGGCGACCTCTGCAAGTATTTTGTTGACGCATGCAAACCTTACAAAAATATAGAATGACATCATTGTTGCTGTCATATTGTGCCAGGAAATTGGAGTCATAATTTTCTAGTGTATTATTTGAGCTTTCTGCCCGTGGTTGATCTGCTCTCAATTCTATATCTTCCCTCGTCTTCTTGCAACAGCAATTGTTGCTTTCATGTTTGCATGCTTTTAATGCTGCTTCCAAGCTCAACTGGTAGAATTTTTTAAGATATTTTAGTTCAGAGCAGCATTCACATTTAGGTGTGCAGATGGAAATTTGCTGCACTTTTTTGCTCGGTGTCCTAGATGGTTGGCTAGGCATTGATTGAGTTTTGGCTGGTGAGGCAGAAGACCTTGTTGGAAAAAATGTTGTCTCAGATGATTGGCTAGGCATTGATTGAGCTTTTGCTGGCAAGTTGGGAGAAGTTTTTGGTAAAAGCTGTATCTCAGATGGTTGACCAGGAGTTGATTTAGTTTTAGCAGGTGAGGCAGATAACGTTGTTGATGGGAAGAGATGTGATGCTGTCAAATCAGAATGGTCTATGTCCATGTGGTCATCAAAAGGAAGTTCATGCGATGTTGGAGTAGGTAAAATGTGACTTGATCCAGGAATAGTTGCAGATGAAATAGTCATTGAATTTGTTATTACGGTTTCAGTTACCGGTTTTTCTTTTCTGCCATATTTACTATAGTATTCACAATAAGCATCAGGGTGATGTCTCTGTAGGTGTTTCCATAAATTGCTCTTGCTGGTTTTTGGAAATTTCACAGTTTTTTTTCCATGCAAGCACAATTTACATGTGGCAATAAAACCACCATTTCTTGTTCTCACATTTTTGTATGCAATTTCAAGCAAAGGATAGGGGGCCATTGTGAAAGATCAGTACATTGGATATGCCAATAAAGAATCTGAGAAAACAAAGTAGGTTAATCAGCATTCAAACATGATTAATAAATTTCAGGACACTTGCAGAAGTGAATGATGCCTATTACTTACAAAATATTTAAAGGGGTTTGAGCAATATACAAATCTTGGTGGAATATTTTAGGGTGGAATCATGAAGCATCATGAGAGAGTAATGCAAAAATTAATTCAAAATAAACCATTACATATTTTATTCATAAATATAACATTTCAAGTCTAATAAACTTTCAAAACAAAACTTGAATGTGGGCTTTTGTTCAAAGAAGATTCAAGTGCTGCATAGCAGGAAAATTTTATTACAGCAGGGAAAAGGTATTGAAAATGGGAATCTAGTTAAGTTAAAAAATATATTCTACAAATGCATTCCTACCCATGCCTATAAATATTCTTAGTAGGTAGTACATACAGATTAGCACATTGAAATAAGAGTCCATCATTTACATGAGCAAACAAGTAACTCGTGATACAGAAAATGCATCATGTCCAAGATTTTTTGCAAATTTGTTTTTTATTTGGAACAAAACAATTTGGAACAAAACAATTTGGAACAAAATATTGCAACTTTCTGAAGTGAATTTACTACCTTTCTAACCACAAATAATTAAATTTGGCAATGAACAAACCAGGAATGCTGCATTATTACAAGAAAACATCCATGATGCTTATAAGCATGCTTATGATTTGTTTCATGAGTAAGTCACCCAACTTGCAGTTCTAGCTTCAAGACAGAGCAATAAAAAGAAATTTAAAACTGCAGCAATTTTGATTCATGTTCAATTAAAATGCTCCAGTTTAGTATAGTCAAATGGGGTAATAAGGAACAGTTTTGAGCAGGGTTGGCATTGATTAAATCAAATCGATTAAACCATGTGATTATATCATTTGATTTTTTATAAAAAAAAATCAGGATTTTTTTTATTTTTTTTCAAATTTTTTGTATATATTTAAATAGATTGAGTGGCAGTCTTTAATTCATTTTGAGCTTAGTTATTCATGGTTTAGTATAAATTTACTATGACAAATAGGAATATAAACTTGTTGCTTTTAACCCATTAATGCCGAGAATTATTTTCTGAAGATTTTTTTGGTTCTTTGTGAGAAGATTATCATTTGTGATGGCAATAAATAAAAAATATGTTCATATACAATGGGGGGAAATAAATATTCGTACACTTGAAAAATCGTATTTTAATGTATGTAAGTACACAATATTTTGTTGATTGTTGTATTGCACTTGCACTTCATCAAGGATTGAAGTAGAAGGATGCACTATAGTCCCTGATTGTTTAATTTAGGGTCTCCTGCGTTATTGCTTTTCCTAACCCATCTTTTCAAAAATTCATTGCAGTAGCCAATTTTTTCATTCAAAAGTTTTTTTGAGAAGCCAACTGAAACCAAAATATACATCACATATAATAAAATATGTTGGCCTGGGATCAATTGTATCATGTTTATGGGACTAATCCATGTTCCAGCCCA